GTCACAATCCTTGGGAATCCGGAGCTGGGGCAGAACCGAAACACTGTTGATGATTGTGGGAGCCTCCCAGAACAATAAGCAAGTTAGAAGGACATAAAGTATGCTGCAGAACAAGTTAACCAAGGTCTCTTTGGGGTGGCACTCAATGCCTGATGATTTAAAGGATTAATGATTGCACGTTTCTTGACAACAACTGTCATTTCTTTCTTCAGGGGGAAGGAAATGAATAACAACAACTGTCATTTTCTTCTCTCTCTCTCTCTCTCTCTCTCTCTCTCTCTCTCTCTCTCTCTCTCTCTCTCTCTGTCTCACACACACACACACACACACACACACACCTGTGGATATCATAAACATCTCAGTGAGATCAACATGACTACTCACCAGCAGTGAATAGGGAGGAAGCGAGAGAAAAGGGAGAAGCACAAAGGAAGAGAATATTGTGGCCAAACCTGCCTCATCTGAAGCAACCAAATGACTTCAGCATATATTAAGCATGCCAACAATCACTGTGTTGAAACCAACCAAAGCAAGCATGGCTGAGACGATACAATCTCTTAATGGAAAACTTTAATGAGTACATCATATTGGCAAAGATGAGGGCAAAGGCAGATCTGACTGTTTCCTGCACAAACCCACTTCGTTAAAGTTCAAGTTTTCCCTCCCCCCTATTAGGCCAGGTCACATTGTCCAGTGGAGACTTCTAGTATTGTTGTGAAAAAGTCTTTTTTAGCTCTGGTAAACACCTGAAGCTTGACACACTCTGCACAATCTCTATACAACTATTGAGGTGCAGGAGCATCTCAGAGATTAGTAGTGAATGTAACTCAGTGGTCTGTGTGGATAATCACTGTGGACGTTCCATGACTGAGTGGAGAACAAAGCGTTATCTCCAGTGGTGGGATTCAATTTTTTTAACAACCGGTTCTGTGGGTGTGGCTTAGTTGGGGGTGTGGCTTGGTGGTCATGTGACTGGGTGGGCGTGGCTAGCTGGTCATGTGACTGGGTGGGCGTGGCTAGCTGGTCATGTGACCAGGTAGGCGTGGCTATCTGCATAGGGACTACTCAGAGGGCTGAAAAAAGTCATTTCTGACTGGTCCTCGCACTTTTGACCGGTCCTCACACTTATGACCATCCTCACATTTATGCCCGTTGCGGCATTCTTAACCGTGTCACTCATTTCACAACTGCTTCTCTTCACCATGGTGACAAGATAGGGCAAAAACATAAAATGTGAGGACAGTCGTAAGTTCGAGGACTGGTCAAAAGTGCGAGGACCAGTTAAAAATAACTTTTTCAGCCTTCTGAGTAGTCCATATGCACAAAAGGACTACCCAGAGGGCTGAAAAAAGTGATTTCTGACAGGCCCTCACACTTTTGACCAGTCTTCGCACTTATGACTGGTCATCATTTATGCCCATTGTAGCATTCTTAACAACCGTGTCACTCATTTCACAACTGCTTCTCTTCACCATGGTGACAAGATAGGGCAAAAACATAAAATGTGAGGACAGTCGTAAGTTGGAGGACTGGTCAAAAGTGCGAGGACCAGTCAAAAATAACTTTTTCATCCCTCTGAGTAGTCCATATGCATAAAAGGATACAGCAATAGAGAGGATGAAGGAAGGGAAGGGAAATTAGAGTAGGATTGAGGGTAAGAAAGGGAGGAAGAGAGGGAGGAGAAGAAGAGGGGGGGGAAGAGAAAGTAAGGAAAGAAAAGAGAGAGGTGGTAGGTTCGAGGAGAAAGATTGCTGTACAATAAAAAAGATGAAAGGGAAGAAAACCAACCCCAAACAAATATAAAGATATTAAGGTAAAGAATGAATTGTTAAACTTTAAAGAATAAAAGAGAACAAATATGAACAAATACAATAATTAGAAATGCACATACAAACGTACAATGTATTTTCTTTGAACAGAGTATTTGGCCAGTTCACAAATTTAAACAGTGTTTAGTCATTTCAATTAAATTTACAATTTCTATATTTCATTTTTGCCATATTTATTCCTCATCTATTTTTTTAAAAAACCAATATTACCCTTCATCCTCATCTCTAATCTTAATCAAATTCTATTTTCCCTTCTATATTATACCCCTTCCCATTGTCATCTATTTTTATATCCATCCTCACATTGGTTAATTATGTAATATTACAGTTCTTTAATACAAATTCAACATTTTAATATAAATCAATTAGTTATATAACTATCTTTTTTGTATATTAATCAATATGAACATGAATATTCCAATTATTTCCATGCAATCCAATTTCTTACAAATCAATTAATTATATTTACCAATAATAATAAACCAAATAATTTCCCCCATATATTCCTCCAAACCACAACTTAACCATTTCTGTTTTCAACACAATATACAATTAATAGTATCTCAATTATTAAAATTCCCTAGTTAAATAGAGCTTTTTTTCTTTTGTGTTTTAAAATCTTGAACTCTCCTCTTTTGCCCTAAATTTCCCATTGTTTGCAGTTTTGCACTTACCTTTTTTGGTGAGGAAAAAGAAAAAGAAATCTCTGCCTCATTTTGTCACGTTGCAGCAAAGACTCTGCTTTACTTTCAGTTTCACTTTTTCAGCATAGCTAGGCTAGGGGAAAAAAGATCTGCTCCAGCACTCTTTGCAGATAGCAATAGAGCCCTGGCAAAACAGCTGAGAGCAAATCAGCTGAGAGTGGGGAGGCCGATCTAATCAACTTGTGCTAATTAACCGATGCTGAAGCTGAAGGGGCTGTTTTTTCTTGCTGTTTGCTTGCAAGGAGGTAAGTGCTGCGAGGCACAGGCCAAAGGGTGGGGGCCACCCTCCTTGCCACTTAGGCTCCCCTCCTGCCCCCTTGCCTCTTACCACCCCCTAAGGCATTCCACCGCCCCCGAAGGGGCGGTACCACCCACTTTGGCAACCACTGGCTTAACTACTTAACAACCGGTTCAACCGAAGTAGAATCCCACCACTGGGTTTACCCATTTATTTTTGCAGGCGTCGGTCTACTCATTTGTTTTCTTTTAACACTGATCAGCTGTAGGGCGGCCCTTTGAAGCCCCACGGCAGCTGCGAGGCCAATAAAATTATAAAAAAACACCGAACCGTTTGTTAAATTGCTGGCTCGCCCACCCCTCGCCCAGTGGTGCGGAGGGGCGGGGCAAGGGGCGGGGCGAGCCAGCAATTTAACAAACGGTTCGGCTGAACCGCCTAGAACTGGCAGAATCCCACCACTGGTTATCTCCCTGCTCCTAACTCACATTTCACCTACACCATTCAAAAAGACAGGTTACAATGTTTTTTACTAGGTTGCATTGCATGTGATCCCTTTGCAGAAAGACAGTCAGAAGGACAGTCCTCGCTTACCGCTTACTACTCAGCCTTCAAAATGACACTGGTGCTGAAAACGTAGAGTTACAAGTGTTCCTCAAAGTGGTGGCCATCACAGTTATTTGGGGGTGGCACTGGTTTGCAATTATGTGTAAATTCTGCACCAGAAGGCGGGACAAGAAATATTGGATGAAAACTAACCAAGGAGAGAAGCAACTTAGAATTAAGGAGAAATTTCCTAACAGGGAGAAGAATTAACCAGTGGGACAGCTTGCCTTCAGAAGTTGTGGATGGGTCATCACTGAAAGTTTTTAAAAATAGCCTGGATAGTCATTTGTCTGAAATAAGGTCTCTGGATCCAGGCGTGTTAGAGAAAAGTTATTTCTCATTTGCTGTGCCTATTAATGGCATTTGGAATGGACAAGTAAATAAGCCAATCAGAAAGCGGCTAATGGGTTTGAAACTCCCTGGCTTTTATAGTCCCTCCCCTAACTGTCACTGTGACAGTATAAAAGGAGATTCCTGACAGAAAACTATTGTCAGTTAGTAGTCAGTCAGTTGTCAGTTAGAGGGCAGCTCTGCAGTTCTAAATGTCAGGTAGAGGGCAGTTCTAAAGGGCAGTTCTGCAGTCAGTATGCAGTTGAAAGGCAGTTTGTCATCAGTAAGTTGGCAGTTAGGAGATTTCTGATTAGGGATCAGAGGTAGATCTGATGTATTAAAAGACTCCTTCTGAGGAAGAATAGCCAGAACTATAATCATATAGAGTTCTCTCTCTCTCTCTCTCTCTCACACACACACACACACATATCTGACAGGATATTTAAGAAAAGGAATGACATACTATTTAGTATTTGAATAGATATTGTTTTTATTATTATGTAAATAAAAACAGTTTATTTTGAACTGCTAGTAAGTCTCAGTTGTTATAGTAGATTGTTATAGAGATAAGGTTTTATGGTACATTGATTTAACCTCCACGACAAGGAGGTTGGACTAGAAGACCACCAAGATCCCTTCCAGATCTATTCTGATTGATTCATCTTGAAAGCTGCAGCCTTGAATTGGCTTGTGGGCGCAGCAGGAACAGGTCAATGGGTATGTTTTGTGGTGAGGGAGAAGATCCAGTTTGGTGTAGTGGTGAAGACACCAGGTTGGAGACAGAGAAACGCTCAGTTCCAGTCCCACCTAAAGGGCAAAACCATCTGCTCAACTTTGGCCAGTCCTCTCAGCCCTCGGAAGCAGGAAAGGGGGGGAACCCCCTCCCAAAAACCCTTGCCAAGGAAACTGCAAGGCCAGGCATCAAGACTGACCCAAAGGCACCAAAGCGTCACGTTTCACTATTTCACTTGATTCAGTTGCAAAGGTCGGTTGCTAGGAGTTGAAAAGGACCTGCTGCCACGTATTGAAAACATCTTCCAAACGCTTTGGTGGAGATTGGACAAAGCATGTTTTTCCACGTCCTGTTGCTAGATGGCGGTCAGGCAACGTCTGTGCCTAGAAAGCCATCCACACTTCAGAGCAATCCGTGCTTGAGCTTGAAAAAGGAGTTTTTAAACCATCGAGTACTTCATTGCTAGAAAGGAGGGGATGGGAGGAGAAGCGCAGAGAACTTCCTCTTCCGGATGACTGATGGGAGGAAAGTGGAATGCAGAGCGGCTTTTGTGCTCTTCCCAGGGTCGAAGCAGCAGCTGGCAGGTGAGTTGAGGGCTGCAGGTGGGAGGAGAGTCCGGGAGCAAGTCGGGCTGTTCGCTTCCCTCCACGGCCTGGAAGCGGAGAAGCAACTGGGCTGAAGCCTCTCAGCTGCGGCTGCTGCAGGTTCCTTCCCTCCCCAAATGGAAGCCCACTGGTGCTGCAGGCTATGAAACTGGTGGCTGCAAGTTTCTGCTGGTGGGAAGATTGAAAAAGCCTCTTTCAAGTGGAGGTTGATTCTTTGGGAATGGCTTCCCTCCAGAGGTTGTGGCTGCTCCGTCACTGGAGGGTTTTGAGGGGAGATTGGGCAGCCATTTGTTCTGGATGGAATAGGGTCTCCTGGCTGAACAAAGGATGGACTAGAAGACCTCCAAGGTCCCCCCTACTCAATTCTTCTCTTATGGACCTGATGTTTTCTGGGCAACGAGATCGGATTTATGTGTCTCTAGTCGTTTCTCGGTTGTATTACTTCCATTTCTAGCTAACAAGCACCGTGTTTTCCTATTAGTGCCCCCATCCATGTATTCACCAGGTTCAACTGTGCTTAACCCAGCACTTTTTTAACAATAGCTATTGAATGTTTTGACTGTTCAGTGTATTTATTTATAAAAAGTATTTATTTATTGTCCACCAACCTTACTATGACACCACTGTGGGCAGCTTAGAGACATAAAAAAAATACATACACATTAAAACCTAAATAAATTGTAGGAAGAAAAATCCGGTCCAGTTCCAAGCCAGGAGAAAAGAGCTGGAAATAAAATGGTGGCTGACTGGAAAGGATTCTGTTTATTGATGAGCAGAACCAACAGCATCATGTTGTTCTGGGACAGCTGACAAAAGGGAGTTGGGATAGGTGGGCTTTTATACATTCTTTGGGGTTGTGCAATGTAGTCTTTTGCTATTCTAATGGTCCTGGGTTAATCCTGTTATGTCCTAAAAGTCCTCCTCAATCCCATCAACTGGAGCTGAAGATATTTTGTTTGTGAATAGATTGGCCCAGTCTTTCTTAATGGGCACCAAATATCCATCTCTAAAGACTGTTAGGGCTTCTTTCTGCCTTTGTTAAGATTTTTTTTCTCCATTTTTCCTTTGGGGAAATATAATATTCTGCCTCTCTTAATATTTCCCAAAATATTTCATTCTTCCTGAGGAGGAGGGGGCTTCTCACAAAATTAATATCTAAGATTAAAATCAAGGACATATTTATTTATTTATTTATTTATTTATTACATGTATTTATATGTCACTATTCTCCCGAAGGACTCAGGGCAGCGAACACAAGTTAAGAAACATGTACAATAAAATCCCATTTTAAACCAAATAACTAATTAATAATAAATAATAAAACCCGGAATCAGAGTCAGCCTATTTGCTTAAACAGCCAAGTCTTCAGATCCCGATGGAAGGAGTGGAGATCAGGAGCCGTCTGGAGCTTGGTAGGTAATTTATTCCAGAGGGTGGGAGCACCCACAGAGAACGCCCTACCCCTGGGCACAGCAAGATGACATTGGCTCGCCGTCGGAACCCTGAGGAGAGCGGCCCTATGTGAGTGAACAGGACAGTGAGAGGCAGGCAGGAGAAGGTCCTGCAAATATCCCGGACCTAAGTCATGTAGGGCCTTATAGGTGAGAACCAGCACCTTGAAGCGGACCCAGAGAACCACTGGTAACCAGTGCAGCTCATGCAGGAGGGGTGTTATATGGGAGTAACGAGGGGCTCCCGTAACAACCCGTGCGGCTGCATTCTGGATCAGCTGGAGTCTCCGGGTGCATCTCAGGGGCAGGCCCAAATAGAGGGAATTGCAGTAATCCAAGCGGGAAGTAACCAGGGCATGAGTGACTGTGCGAAGGTCATCTCGGTCCAGAAAAGGGCGCAACTGGCGCATCAGGCAAACCTGTGCGAAGGCCCCCCTGGTCATGGCTGTTAGATGGTCTTCTAGGGACAGCCGAGCATCCAAGAGGACACCCAAGTTGCGAGCCCTATCAACGGGGGCAAGTTTTTCCCCATCCATCAAAAGTGATGGGGCCTCTGAACCCCGAGATGCCGGCATCCACAGCCACTCAGTCTTGGAGGGATTGAGTTTGAGTCTGTTTCTGCCCATCCAGGCCCGTACCACCTCCAGGCAACGGGACATCACGGAAAGGGCATCTCGGGGGTGGTCTGGAGTGGAGATGTATAATTGGGTATCATCAGCATATTGATATCTCACCCCAAAGCCACGAATGATCTCACCCAGTGGCTTCATATGGATGTTAGGGGGGAGAGAACCGACCCCTGAGGCACCCCACAATTTAGGGGCCTCGGGGTGGATCTCTGCCCTCCTGCCCATACAAACTGAAAGCAACCCGAGAGGTAGGAGGAGAACCACTGTAACACAGTGCCTCCCACCCCCAACCCCACAAGTCACTGCAGTAGGATACCATGGTCGATGGTATTAAAAGCCACTGAGAGGTCAAGTAGGACCAGGAAGGAGGAACAACCACCATCCCGAGCCCACCAGAGATCATTCACCAGAGCGACCAATGCCGTTTCCGTGCTGTGTCTGTGTCGGAAGCCCGATTGGTACGGGTCCAGGTATTCCGTTTCCGCCAGGAATTGTGGGAGCTGTTGCGCCACTACAGTCTCAACTACCTTCGTGATGAAGCGAAGGTTGGAGATGGGATGATAGTTATTAAGTGAGTCTGGATCCAGGGAAGGCTTCTTGAGGAGAGGTCGAACCACTGCCTCCTTAAGAGAGGCGGGGAAGTTCCCCTCTCTCAACGAAGCGTTGACAATTGCCTGGATCCAGTCTCTAGTCACCTCCCTGGCAGCTGAAACTAACCAGGAGGGACAAGGGTCCAATAAGCAAGTGGAGGAACTAAGTCTGCCCATAATCCTGTCCACTTCCTTGACAGAAACAGGGTCAAACTCAATCCAGATATTATTCTCAAGACCCACCCTAGTCTCCCGATTGGATTCTGCCCAGTCAGAGTCCAATCTGATCCTGATCTGAGCGATTTTATCATGCAGAAACTGTACAAAATCCTCAGCTCTGCCCTGTAAAGGGTCTTCCCTCACTCCCTGATTGAAGAGGGAGCAGGGCACATGAAACAGGTCCGCTAGGCAGTTTTCTGCAGATGCAATGAGGGCAGCGAAGTAATCTCGTTTTTTCGCTTTCATCGCCACTAGATAAGACCTAATATGGGTTCATAACTGTGTTCGGTCAGATTCAGATCAGGAGGGCCTCTAGGCTTCTTTTCCGACGTTTCATTTCCCGGAGAAATGAAACCAAGGAGCAATCTGGGATCTGCGTTGGGTTAGAGGCCGCAAAGGTGCTATTCAAGGCGTCCAAGGCATCGGTAGCCACCCATTCCCAGGATGCCACCAGAGCCTCAGCTGAATCGCAGGATTGAGAGGTGGGGAATGTCCCAAGCTCCTTCAAGAACCTTTCTGGATCCATCAGGCGCCTGGGGCGGAACCATTTTATGGGTCCCGTCTCCCAGCGGCAAGGGTTGGCAGATTGAAAGTCCAGTCTAAGGAGGGAATGGTCAGTCCATGACAGGGGAGTGATGGAAAGTTCCCCCTTACCATGACCATTTATCCACTGCCCAGAGAGAAAAACCAGGTCAAGTGTGTGTCCTCCCCTATGAGTTGGGCCCTGAATAACCTGAGTCAGGTCCATGGCTGCCATGGAGGCCATGTCTCAGATGACTCGCTGATAGAAGGCAGATTAAAATCTCCCACAACCAAAAGGCTGGGGAGTTCGAATGCCACTTCAGTCAAGACATCGAGCAGTGTGGGCAGGGCTGGGGCAACATAGCTGGGAGATAGGTATGTGACCAACAAGCCCGACTGAACTCCAGGGTCCCACTTTAATAGAAGAGACTCACACCCGCCTATCTGAGGGACAGTGACCTCCTTAGGACTCAGACTTTCTCTAACAACCACTGCCACCCCCCCGCCCCTTCCCTGGTGTCGTGGCTGGTGCAGATCACGAAAGCCTGGGGGACATAAATCAGAGAGAGGGATTCCCCCCTCTTCCCCAACCAGGTCTCTGTGATACAGGCCAGGTCCGCACCCTCCTCATCAATAAGATCTCGTTTGAGGAGGGCCTTATTCATCATAGACCTGGCATTCACATATACCATACGGAGACCTATATGAGGAAGGAGAGGTGGAATGGGGGTGAGGTGGGATCTACTACTCGATCAAGGACAAGCATAGGTAGTCATCACTTACCATTGGTTCACTGAGCCTTTCAAGTTAAAATGGCACTGTAGAAGCAGACGTAGTTATGAAGGTGCAGGAAAAGGAGTTGCACCAATATGGATTCTGGAAACTGATGCACTTTTATATCATGGTTTCAATATCCCAGATTCAATCCCGATATGTGAACTTTAACAACCCACAATGATTTCTTTAAGAACTGCATAGGAACATATGTAAATTGGCACTGTCATTTGAAATTATGGTTCATGATCGGGCTGCTTAGTGGCACAGATGCTAGTCCCAATTGCAAGTTAGTAAGTGAGGACTACTTCAATTGGGATGTCACCAAAGGGGTTGTGGAAAGTATTTTCTGCCCTTACTGGAGCTCAGTGCTTCCATGGGCAAGAGGCTCTAGGCATCATTTGGTCAGTTAAAGCCCCCACATCTGTAAAGCTAGTGCCATGCAGATTGATAGGTGTGGCTCAATAAAATAAAAGACAGAGTCCAAGTGTGTGTGTTGATAAGCCAATGCATTTATTCGTGTGAATAAAGATGGGTCCCTCATAAGAAGAAAGGAACCCAGAACATAGCGCAAGGCAGATATTTATAATTTTTTTGCTTTCACTTCATTACATACAGTAAGAGGCAGCTGGCACACAACAGGTAAAATATAGAAATATAAATTATAAAAATTATAAAAATACCCACGCATGCCTTCTGTGGTTTTGATCATATGCCTAACCCACAGGCTAGTGGTTTCCTGTGAAAGTTTCCATGGCCTCAGAAGCCTGTTGAGGTCTGAACTTCAGCTTTGCCATTGATCTGTCCCCGTCCACACACACACACAAACACAGCCAGCCGAGGGTTAAGGAAACACTTTGGCACACACCCAGGTCTTATCTCCAACTTGGCAGCGATTTACACACCGTCTGCCAAGTGCATTTATTTCCACAGAAAACAGACAGATAACATACTCAGAGTCCAAACGTCCGACAACAATAAATATTTCTCTCAGCAGTTCCGGACGAGGCTTTAGTGACTATCCAAGGTTTACTTTGTTCATCACAAAGATCACTGGCCACCACCCTCTATTATATAGTCTCTGGGGTGTGGTCCAGTGACTCAGTTCTAATCCCTAGCACGCCTCCTGAGCTGCTGCAATCGTTTATCACGCCTTCGGAGGCGTGCGTCCAGGAATGATGTTTCTCCGTCACTCTGATCCGAGCCACCTGTCTCTCTGTTAATCTCCTCTCCCTCGGCCGGCACCTGAGACAGTGCCAGAAGGGAGGGGCCTGGAGAGGGAGGCCTGGCTGACTCCTCTTCCTCATGCTCGGAGCTTTCTTCCTCCGATGGGACAGGCTCAGAGGGCGGGGCCACAACAGCCATCTCAACATGTGAGCAATCATCCAATTCATCCAATTCCTGATTAACAATAGCTCAGAAGGTTTGAGATGTTTTTCAAACTTGAAAGACATGGATTATCTTCATATTGTAGGTGTGTGTATTTTTTATTTCCCTCTGAATGTATATATCTGCAAATGTATAATCTCTCCCCAAGACTTCCAGATAAACAGTCATGTAAAAAAGAAAGCACACTCTCCTTGACTTCTATTATTTTATATATCGGGACATAGTAAAAATCAATTGGTCCTTAGAAATTCTTAAAATGGTGAGAACGATTAATCAGCAGAACAGTTTGCCTTCAGAAGTTTTGATGCTTCATCACTGGAGACTTTTCAGAAGAGTCGTCAGAGCCACTTTTCTGAAATGGTATAGGGTCTCCTGCTTGAGCAGAGGCTGGATTAGAAGACCTCCAAGGTCCCTTCCAATTCTGTTATTCTCTTCTGTTCTGTTGCAATGATATTTATATCATAAATATGATATATTTCATATCATAAATATGATATATATAAAACCATTTCTATGGTTTTACTGATAAGTAAAACCATAGAAATGAAGGAGGGTGAACTTTCTTTTTCACTGGACTATATTTAAAACAAACCTTTGCACTACTAAGAATTTGTGATTGATCCAGTCAAGAATTGAATTTCATCATTGCTTGGATATTCGAACTTGGATCTGGGTATTCTTCCGTGTATCAAATAAATCATGATTAATGTAAGAGCTAATTGGAGCATTGGAGCATGCTTACTTTTTCATTGTAATGTAAATGTTTTTCTTTTTTTCTCATCTTCTGCAGCCATTTCATGCACAGTTAAAGATACATTTTTATTTGAATCTTATAGACAAAGAGGATGGCAATAAGAGCATTCTGGACAACTGAGGATAACAAGCAACATTGAATAGCAAAGCAAATAAGTCCAGAAATCACAATATTTTCCATTTCCTTCACAGAGCCTACAATTCTTCACCTTCCTCAGCAAGTGAGAGAGAAACGAGAGAAAATCAAGATTTCTAGCTGGGAAAAGTAGGGTGTGAAATTCAAGCATACATTACATGAAAAGTCAAGGGAGATTATTGTTCCATTGAGCAAAAGAGGGAAATATCGGGAAGTTACTGGGGAGGAAAAGGTCAATTGGAAAACCACATAGAGCAGACAGTGTTGCAGGCCTCGCTCTGGGAGCAAGAAAACAGCTTGAATCAAAGCACCGCTAAACAAGGGATCATCCATATTTTGGACCTCCTCAGAAATATTAGTTGTGGAAAAGCCCCATAGAGGTTCCTGTTGTGGGAAAGATACGACTTGCAAATTATAGCTCATTATGCCTGAGAGGATCCCGACTGGAGAAAAGCCATATAATACTCTAAATGTGACAAAACCTCTAATCAGAACACCTCCGTTGTGGTTCATGGAAGGACCCACACAGGAGAGAAGCCCTACAAATGCTCCCAATGCAGTAAATGCTTTAGCAAGCATGGCAATGTGGACTCACACCAAGGAGAAACCGTTTGAATGTCCTGAGTGTGGGAAACATTTCAATAGAAATTCCAACCTCATTAGACACCAGAGAATTCACACAGGTGAGAAACCCTTTGAATGTCCTGATTGTGAGAAAAGTTTCTCTCAGAATTCCCAGCTCATGAGACACCAGAGGACTCACACAGGTGAGAAACCCTTTGAATGTCCTGATTGTGAGAAAAGTTTCTCTCAGAATTCCCAGCTCATAAGACACCAGAGGACTCACACAGGTGAGAAACCCTTTGAATGTCCTGATTGTGAGAAAAAATTCACTACCAATTCCAATCTTATAAGCCACCAGATGATTCACACAGGCGAGAAACTCTGTAAATGTCTTGAATGTGGGAATAGTTTCAGTCGGAATTCTGACCTCATTGCACACCAGAGGACTCACACAGGAGAGAAACCATTTGAATGTCCTGTTTGTGGGAAAAGTTTCAGTCGTAATTCGAGCCTGATAATACACCAGAGAACTCACACAGGTGAGAAACCCTTTGAATGTCCTGATTGTGAGAAAAGTTTCAGTACCAGTTCCAGCCTGGTGAAACACCAGAGGACTCACACAGGAGAGAAACCGTTTCAATGTTCTGTTTGTGGGAAAAGTTTCAGTGAGAATTCCAGCCTGGTGATACACCAGAGAACTCACACAGGCGAGAAACCATTTGAATGTCCTGATTGTCAGAAAAGTTTCAGTACTAGTTCCAGCCTGGTGAAACACCAAAGGACTCACACAGGAGAGAAACCCTTTGAATGTCTTCACTGTGGGAAAAGTTTCAGTCGTAATTCCACACTTGTTCAACATCAGAGGACTCACACAGGAGAGAAACCCTTTGAATGTCTTGATTGTGGGAAAAGTTTCAGTCAAAATTACTATCTGGTAATACACCAGAGGATTCATACAGGAGAGAAACCCTTTGAATGTCCTAATTGTGGGAAAAGTTTCAGTAAGAGTTCCCACCTTATTAGCCACAAGAGGATTCACACAGGAGAGAAACCCTTTAAATGTCCTGACTGTGGGAAATGTTTTAGTCAGAATTCCCACCTTATTAGCCACCAGAGGATTCATACAGGAGAGAAACCCTTTGAATGTCCTGATTGTGGAAAAAGTTGCAGTAAGAGTTCCAATCTCATTAGCCACCAGAGGATTCATACAGCAGAGAAACCCTTTGAATGTTTTGATTGTGGAAAAAGTTTCTCTCAGAGGTCCCAACTCATGATACACCGGAGGACTCACACAGGAGAGAAACCCTTTAAATGTCCTGATTGTGGGAGAAGTTTCAGTCAGAATTCCAGCCTGGTGAGACACCAGAGGATTCACACAGGAGAGAAACCCTTTGCATGTCCTGATTGTGGGAAAAGTTTCAGTCAGATTTCCAGTCTGGTTAAACACCAGAGGACTCACACAGGAGAGAAACTGTATGAGTGTCCAGAGTGTGGGAAAGATCTCAGTACTAGGTTTAACCTTCTAAATCATATGCTTATACACATAGGGGAGAAACCATTTAAGTGTCCCAAGTGTGGACGGTCCTTCAGGCAACATTCCAGCCTTATTGCACACAAGAAAATTCACCTGAAGCCTCAAGTGATGAGTGTAGAGAAGGCTTGAATTTCATTTCTAACGGCCCATTGTAAGTCCAGCTGAGAAACTGACTATTTAATTTTACTACAAATTCTTTTTGTAATGGTATTTGCCTGATTTTTTTGTAGGCATATATGTAATGATATTAGGTGGAAAGGAGAAAGGAAGAAATTGCAACATATTAGTTTGATAATGGCTATCTGGCCATCAGCAGAAGAAGTTGCTGGATATTTATTTTTGCAGAAATTGTGCAATTATGTAAAAATATTTTGGGAGTGGTGTTTGCATTTTTACCATGGTAGATAATATAAATGCCACATACAGAATCCCAGCCTTTTTCTTCCTTGTTTGATCCTAGATTTTTACCTCAGAATTTTCCAGCCAGCATGTGTTGGGGATAGGAGCACTCAGATTATAGTTAGAGATTGTGGCTCCACATATAAGGAGAAAGCGAGAGGAGAACAGAAGTAAAGGAGTTTAAAAGTTCATTTTTTCCTAACAGCTCTAGGAATTCAGTGCACCAAGCATGTCTCTTCAGATTGTGTCAAGCATGAGGCACGCAACTGGAAGATACCATATGAATAGCAAATATATTGGAGTTTGGGGCAGTGACAAAAGCAGTGTAAAATTTCAGATGTAAAGTCTGTTGTGCCTTGCAAAGTGACCTTCATTGAGAAAAGCTGTAGGAATATTGAATTGAGAAAAGGGATTGTGGTTTTGAGCACAGGATCTCCAGGTTCATTCGCAACTCCTGCTGTGAACTCCTTCACTTGCAGGTGCCTCCTTATTAGCCTTTGACGGCTTAGGTGTGAGCAGCACCAAGGAACTGATACTTTTGTGGTCTCCGCCGCCGCTTGGGGAGATGTGAGGAAAAAATTGTACAGTAGATAATGTTTAATTTCTAAAACAGCGTAAGAATCATGAATAGCTTTTGAGAAAGAAAAATAAAGGAAAGTCTCAGCATTTCTGTAAACATTGGAAGAATGTAATGCAAAACCTTCTTCCCAACACATGGAAGATGTTTCCTGTGCTTTCACTTCTCTTCCAGGGCTTAATTTTTTTAAATCATGTATCCTTCAAATATGTAGATGGATTATCCTGATTTTGCTGGGATTGGAAGACACCAAAAATTCCAAGATTGTTTGTTTCACCAACACAATTCAAACACAATTCATTTCATGTGATACCTTTGCAGGACACCCAACAACCAGGCCAAGTGTGTGGAGAACCAAGAGGCTCTTGGCCTGAGTCTTAAGTCCAAGTGATTTAGAATTTAAACATGTGCAAAATTTCTAAAATTTAAAATAGTAAAAATATATTTAATCAATTTTCCTTGTTTTCTTTCCTTGGTGTCACATTTTAGTACACCATTTTTATCATTTCTCATCTTATTATAGTTAGGAGTTGGAAATATGATCCCAAAGCCTCTGAATCTCTTACAGGGCTATATGTGTAACAATATCAAGCAAAATTAAATAAAGCCAATTTAAGAGTTAGAAGGGATGGTCTACAGGGCCAGGTCAAAAGCCATTAGTTCCCACTCAGAAGAACAGTCCATTTCCTCAGAATCAAAATTTGAAGCTCAGATTGAAAGGTTTAATGGTTGCTGAAGGTCCTGCTTCAGGCACAAAGCCGTCTCAGAGACTTTGGCCTGTCCAGTCCTCTCAGGCCTTGGAAAGGGGAAATCTTCTATCAAAAAACTTTGCCAAGGAAACTGCAGGGAAATGGGAGTGCAGGATAACCGGTAGCAGACATGTGGCTTGGGTCGACGAACCTGTAGTGACCACTGGCTGGCCACACCGCTGAACCAGTCCCCTCGGTCACTACTCGCTCACCCTGCCTCGTTTCTGCAAAGGCAGAGCCTCCTCCTTGCAGAGTGATCCAAAGGGGAGGGGGATGCTGCAGAAAAGGGCGCCTTCCCTCTGGGCCTCCCGGACTGGCTCCGCAGGGCTTGGGGCTCTGAAGCAGTCCACTGGCTTCCCACCCGGCTACCTGCCTGCTATCTTTAACTGCCGGTGCCACTGTAGGAACTCGGCCTGCAGAGTCTGGTGTTCCGGGGGAAGGAGGCTCAGCTGCGGTGCCACTTCCCACTGGCGAAGAAGCAGAGCAAGAGGTGCGGAAGTTGGCAGCGGCTGGCGGGGTGGCAGCCCCCCATGTGGGGGGAGGGCCAGGTCCAGCTGTGCCACCACGGAGCCCGCGGTACTTTCCCTTTGGGCTGGGTGGCGGCGCTTACCTGGGCGGGCCGGTGCAGGTAGCTCTTCATCTTGCTGAAGATCAGGTTGCTGTACTTGTAGTTCCGCAGCCGACTGGAGTGGAACATGGTGTGGGTGGAGAGGCCGATGCAGCCCCCGCCAAGGCCACCCTGGCCAAGCGATTGCTGCATCTCCCCAGCAACATGTGCCGGGGCCACCTTCACCGCCTCCGTGTGTTGCACGTGGAAGAGGCTGCCGCTGCTGCTCTTGCTGCCCTCCCTGCCTGGCTGCAGACATCCACCTGCCCTCCGGGAGCACCACTGCCATCGTTCGCTTTCGTTTTGTGGTGGGAGAAGGAAGAAAGTGAACGGTGGTGCATCAGTGCTCCACGTGGGCAGGCGGGTGTCTGCAGCCAGGCGGGGAGGGAGAGCGGCGAGAGTGGTGGGTTGTTCCAGGAAGAGCCTGGCATTTACCTCAGCTGCAAATGCTGAGATTTGAGGTCTACAAATCATGTTAAAGGGTGAGCTATTGATAGTTGCGTGGAAGGGAAACAAATTGAGCGTGGGACAGAGAGAGCGCAGGGCTGGACGTGGCCACTGGCATCATCCCACCACGGCCCGCCTATGAAGACTTTGGCTCCGTGTGCAGCGCCAATGGAGGCTCGGGGATTTCAGGTGAGGAGCTAGCACACACCCCAACCCTGAGGCATTGGCAACGAGCTAAAAGGCACTTCTTTACCCCTCACTCTGGGATTCGAACCCTACCCCTAAGTAAAGGTGACAGGCAACAGGGAGTCCTGTGCAAGTTCTGAGAAAGCCAGCTTTTGGGTTCCCAGGCCCCGTTTAAAGCCCTTTGGCCTCAGCAGTTCTACAGGAAGTTTAGAATGGGACTGGCCACTGAGGAGGAAAGGGCCCAGAGCTGAGCTTCCCAATCTTTCGTTAGGCAGCCTTGAGCACATTAAAAAAAAAACAAGCCCTTCTTCCCGGATGCTTCTGTCCACTTTCCCACATCCCACCTATTGCTCCTTCTCAATCTGCCTGGACTTTTCCCCTCCCCTCTTTGGATCACCCTGCAAGGGTGGGGGGTCTGCCTTTGTAGAAACAGGGTGGGCGATTTGTACAGAGGATTGGCGGTGGGGATGTGCGGCCCTCCGGGATGGAGAGCAGGGCAAGAGAAGGCTCTGAGTTTTGCTTGGCCAGTCACGCCAGATGGCGGATGGAAACTCAAAGCGTTGGGGGCTTCAGAAGGGCAGAATGTGCTTCAGAATGTTCAGCTCCTGGCTCTATCAGTGAGTGATATGAGTGATGTCAAGTTGGCCACGCCACCCAGCCACATGATCACCAAACCACGCCCACAGAACCGGTAGTGAAAATTTTTGGATTTCACCACTGGACCTCTTGCTATCGAAACAACGATAAAAAGGAAATAATTCATGATTACTATGAAAAACTATATGATCAAGAGACAATTGATAAAATAAAAGAATACTTAGAAAAAGCAGAGTTAACTAGAATACCAGAAACAGTTAAAGCAACATTAGAAGAAAGAATAACAATGATGGAATTAACGGAAGCAATTAAAAGACAAAAGAATGGCAAAACATCAGGCCCGGATGGGCTACAAGCAGAGTTATATAAAATATTACAAAACTCCATAGGCAATTCAATGTTGGAAGTATTCAGTGAATTAATGTTAGAGGTGAAAGTACCAAATTCTTGAATGGAAGTATACATTACGCTCATACTGAAAGAGGTTTCAGACTTGCATCAGATAAAAAAACTATTGACCAATATCTTTATTGAATCCGGACTACAAAATATTTGCTTCAATAATAGCAGAAAGACTAAAGAGATTTTTAAATCAATTTATACATGCAGATCAAAATGGCTTTTTACCTAAGAGACAAATTAAAGATAATATGAGAATAATTTTGAAAACACTGTAATATTATGAAGCACATCGAGAGAAGCAAATGGTACTGATTTTCTTTGATGCACAGAAGGTGTTTGACAATGTGAACTGGCAATTGATGCTGACAGAATTAAAAGTTATGGACTTTGGGGAGAGATCTATCAAGATGATGTAAGGCAATATACTATAAACAAACCGCAAAGGTGATGGTAAATTACCTTTGAAAAGGACTGAAAAGGTTAATATCAGAAAGGCTACAAGACAGGGATGTCCCATGTCCATTATTATTTGTATTGACACTAGAAGTATTAAATAGAAGTATTAGACAGGATAAGGAGATAAAAGATATGGAAATAAAAAAGGAAGAATACAAATTACAGGCATTTGCAGATGATTTGGTTTTTATCTTAGAAGATCCACGAAAAACGGCCAAAATTAATAGAAAGAATAGAAGAGTATGGCGAAGTGGCAGGATTGAAAATAAATAAAGAAAAAATTAAGATTTTAGTGAAAAATATTACAGAGAAACAGAAAAAAGTTAATGAAGAAATTAGACATTCAGATTACTAAGAAAGTAAAATACTTAGGGATTCAATTAACAGCAAGATGTGTAATGATTAAGGAAGATAATTATAAGGAGATACAACAAATCAAGATAGACTTGGAAAAATTGGAAAGTTTGTAATTATTGTTGATAGGAAGAATATCCACAATTAAGATGTATTCCCGAGATTATTGTACTTGTTTCAAACAATTCCGATAAGATTGGAGAAAAAAATACTTTGAGGATCTTAATAAAGTAATATTAAAATATATTTGGCAGGGGGAGAAAGCAAGAATTAATTTTAAAATGTTACAGGACACAATAACTAGATGAGGTTTTGGATTACCAAATTGGGAACTATACTACCAGGCAGCAATGTTAACATGGATGAAAGAATGGATTGTACTGAGAAGCACAAGATTATTGCCATTGGAGGGACATGATTTGCAACTGGGTTGGCATGCCTTATGGTATGGGAAAAGTAAGATACATGGTTACTTTCAAAGACACTATGTAAGAAATGTTTTATTGTTAGTTTAGGAGAAAATTAGAGAACAACATTATTTGAAGATACCAGTTTGGCTTTCAACAATCGAAGCACTTGTTCATCCAAATCTATATATATAAAAGCGAAAACCACTCATGCTGTAATCACGAAATATCCAGAACCTACAAATTTGCCACGTATGTTCCTCTTGGCTTCTAGGTGCTCACTAAGAAAGGATTTTTCAAAATGACTATCAGAGCATTAGTATTTCCTATATTATAACATGATCTAATGCTAACGAGTTAGACGTACTCCTCCCTTCCCAACTTGAAAATAACTCTGGAGAGAACAGGATAGCATAGGACAGGCTTCTGTGGAGCAAGGCTGAGGGAGAGAAGGGGTTAGAAAGCCTGAGGGAGAAAAGGGGTGTCAGAGATTGTAGATTTAATAGCTGTAAGCTGATGGAAGGTTGTAAGTGGAGGCAATTGAGAGCTGATGCAATGGGAATGATTCAGCATTTAGAATTGCCGGTTTAAGATTCTGATGGGGTCCACACAAGACTGTTACCATTTTAAGAGGTGTCTATATATAGGTGACCATTAGAGGGCGTATCGTCGTGTATCTCATTGCTCTCCTTGTGTCCCTAGCTGTATGTTAAGGTATCTACCCTGTATATGTATGTATGTATGTATATATTTAGTTGTATATAAACCACTGTTAATTATCTAAAGGCTCTGTGTGCTGTGTTTTGCTCCTGGGTTTATCTCATGATACTAGTCCCTCTACAAAACTGTGACAAGGGGATAGGATAGTAGATGTTTCTGTGGGGCAAGGCTGAGGGAGAGGAGGGGATAGGATAGGATTCTGTGGGGCAAAGCTGAGGGAGAGAAGGGGATAAGATAGGGGAGGATTCTGTGGGGCAAGGCTGAGGGAGGGCATAGGATAGGGGAGGATTCTGTGGGGCAACGTTGAGGGAGAGAAGGAGATAGGATAGGGGAGGGGAGGATTCTGTCGGGCAAGGCTGAGGGAGTGAAGGGGAGAGGAGAGGCCAATCATAACTACTCATTAATTTTCAAACTCCAAGTGTCAATTTATCAAGCCCCATCACATAGTTTCATAGCAAAGTACGGATATCCTGCTAGTATTTATTTTATTTATTTATTTATTTTAAAATTTGTATACCGCCCTTCTCCCTGAGGACTCAGGGCGGTGAAGAGCCAAGTAAAAACATAAACTACAAACATTAAAATACAATTAAAAAGATATATATAAATTTGGCCCCATGATAGTATCACTAGTATGGGAAATATTGTTAGATATAAAGACATTTTGAATGAAAAGGGAGAGCTCAAAATTAAACAGGAGTTGAAAGAGCAAGGGATTGATATGGTTTGGTATACACAATTGCAAATACAATCTAGATATGAAAAAGATACTAAATTATATGGTTCTTATATGGATTTGACAGAATTGGATAAGATTAACAATAGAATTAGAAAAATGGCAGCAACTATGGGATAGAAATTACAAATTAACAATGTCAACCACTTATAAAGAAAACTTGTATAAGATGTTTTATAGATGGCATTTTCCACCAGCAAGATTGGCAAAGACAATTTAAAGACAAATCAGCTAAATGTTGGAAGGGTCACCAGACATCTGCGTTGTATTATCATATGTGGTGGAAATGCATAGAAGCCAAAAAATACTGGACAAAAATATAAACCCGAAATATTCTACCTATCAATAGAATAATGAAACATGGACCAATAACTGGAAACATCCACTCTCCTTGCTTCCAAATCACGTCTAGATAGGAGATATTTTATCTATCTGCATCCTTGCAGAACCTAAATCTCACTAAAGGAAAGAGTTGCTCTGAGCAGCCTTTCCAATCTGTGCAGGAGTTAGATTTCAGTCTTATTACTCCCAAATTTTGGGCAAAAGACTTGGAGGGCAGCAGTTTGCAGAAAGCTGATGTATAGATTTTGCACTTTCTTAGGGGTGACTCAGTGGAGATCAAAACCTCCCCAAAACTTTATGGCTGATTTCTTGTGGTTCCCAAGGATTTAGGACCCAGGAGGATCAGTGGGTCAGAGGCTCAAAGGGAGGCAACTTCATTCGTACTGCCCAGAGATGCTTCCAAGCACACTGATGCTAAATGCCTTGTGTGTCTATAACTTTGCATACACTGAAGTCTCATTAGGTCAAAGTGAGAAAGTCACATATCCAGTAGGGCTAGAAAAGGGGACTTAACAAGAGTAGATGACTTGTCTATTTGTGGTAAGAGAAATGTTTCAAAAGGCATTTCAAACGGTTGGAAAAAATGTTGGTAATATAGATGTGCATACAAAAATGTATCAAGGTCACACCACTCTTTCATACACATTCCTTTTTTTAATTCAATTTTTTTTTGAAAAAAAAAAATTTTTTTGAAACATAAACAAAAAATACATCTTTTCAGAACGAGCCATTGATCTGGTCAAAAGTAGGTACAATTACTAATTCCTCTTTAATAAAAGCTTTATCCAAATCTCCACTAATTACCATCTTATAATACCTGGCTCCCTGCCACGTGTTGGTGGCCCTGCCTGAAGTGCTCAACGTGATAGCCGGGGTGGCGGTTGATACCCCTAGACTTATGATTATGGGGGATTTCAACCTGCCATTTATCGGTGAAACGTCTGAGGTGGCTCGGGAGTTCATGGCTTCCATGACGGCCATGGACCTGACCCAGTTAGTTCATGGCCCTACTCACACAGGGGGACACACTCGACTTGGTTTTTATCTCTGGCAAGTGGCTGAATGGTTTAGATATAGGGGATATAGTGATTGAACCCTTGTCATGGTCAGATCATTCTCTCCTTCAACTTGACCTTCAAACCGCTACACCCTGCCACAGGGAGGCGGAACCGACTAGGTGGTTCCGCCCCAGGCGCCTGATGGATCCTGATAGGTTCCGGATGGAGCTTGGGCCATTCCCTGAGGCTCTGGCTCACGACCCTGCTGAAGACCTGGTGGCCGCCTGGAATAGGGCGGCCTCTGGAGCTTTGGACCGTGTCATGTCTTTGCGGCCTCTGACCCGGCGCCGATCTCACTTAGCTCCCTGGTTCCCCGAGGAGCTGAGGGAGATGAAGCACCGGAAAAGACGCCTGGAGAGCAGTTGGAGGGCCAGCCTTTCCGAATTTGACCGAACACTGGTGAGGTCTCATATTAAGACCTACCTAGTGGCGATAAAAACGGCAAAATTTAATTATTTTTCCACTCTTATCGCGTCTGCAGATAACCGCCTGGCTGCCCTGTTTAGGGTGACCCGCTCCCTGCTTCATCTGGGAGCGCGGGAAGACCCCTTGGAGGGTAGGGCTGAGGATTTTGTGCAGTATCTGCATGACAAAATCACTCAAATTCGGGAAGGCTTGGACTCTGACTGGGTAGATGCAGGTGGGGTGATGGAGGCTGGTCTTGAGAGTGTTATCTGGGAGGAGTTTGACCCGGTGACCTCCGAAGATGTGGACAGGATTCTGGGTAGACTCAGCGCAGCCACATGTTTATTGGACCCGTGTCCCTTCTGGCTGGTGCTGGCTTCCCGGGAGGTTACACGAGGCTGGCTCCAGAGGATTATCAACTCTTCCTTGAGAGAGGGTTGCTTTCCCGCCGCCTTGAAAGAGGCGGTGGTGAGGCCCCTCCTCAAGAAGCCCTCCCTGGACCCAGCTGTTTTAGCAAATTACCGTCCAGTCTCCAACCTCTGCTTCGTGGCGAAGGTTGTTGAGAATGTGGTGGTGCGACAGCTCCCCCAGTACCTGGATGAAGTGGTTTATCTTGATCCATTTCAGTCAAGCTTCAGACCTAGGTACAGCACGGAAACGGCATTGGTCGCATTGGTCGATGATCTCTGGAGGGCTCGGGACAGGGCTTGTTCCTCGGTCCTGGTCCTATTAGATCTCTCAGCGACTTTTGATACCATCGACCATGGTATCATGCTGCACCTGTTGGAGGGTTAGGGGTGGGGGGCACCGTGTTGCAGTGGTTCTCCTCCTTCCTCTCTGACCGGTCGCAGTTTGTGTTGACAGGGGGCCAGAGGTCGACCCCGAGGCACCTTGTATATGGGGTACCGCAAGGGTCGGTCCTCTCGCCCCTTCTGTTCAACATTTATGTGAAGCTGCTGGATGAGATTATCCGTGGTTTCGGGGTGAAGTTCCATCAGTATGCTGATGACACTCAGCTGTACATCTCCACCCCAGACCACCCCAATGATGCCCTTGACGTGATGTCCCGGTGTCTGGAGGCCATGCGGATCTGGATGGGGAGAAACAGGCTCAAGCTCAACCCATCCAAGACCGAGTGCCTGTGGCTTCCGGCGTCCCAATATAGTCAGCTGGTGACATCTCTGACTATTGGGGACGAGTCGTTGGCCCCCACAAAGAGGGCTCGCAATTTGGGTGTCCTCCTGGATGCACGGCTGTCCTTAGAAGAACATGTGATGGACGTGGCCAGGGGGGGCTTTCTATCAGGTTCGCCTGATTCGCCAGTTGCGTCCCTTTCTGGATCGGGACTCCCTGCACACGGTCACTCATGCCCTCGTCACTTATTTATTTATTTTATTTATTATCAGATTTATATACCGCCCTTCTCCCGAAGGACAAAGGGCGGTGCACAGCCAAAGTAAAAACATAAATAAAAGCCAAAGTAAAAACTTCCCACCTGGACTACTGTAATGCTCTCTACATGGGGCTCCCCTTGAAGAGCACCCAGAGGCTCCAGCTGGTCCAGAATGCAGCTGCGCGGGTCATTATGGGAGCGTCATGGCGCTCCCATGTAATACCTCTCCTGCGCGAGCTGCACTGGCTTCCGGTGGTCCTCCGGATGCGATTCAAAGTGTTGGTGACCACCTTTAGAGCGCTCCATGGCTTAGGACCAGGACAAGACTGCCTTCTGTCACCGAGAGCCTCCCACCGGCCAGTACGCTCCCACAGAGAGGGGCTCCTTGGGGTGCCGTCGGTCAAACAATGTCGACTGGCGGCCCCCAGGGGGAGAGCTTTCTCTGTGGGAGCACCTGCCCTCTGAAACGAGCCCCCGCCGGAGATACGGAGGATTCCGGATTTACGTACTTTCCTCTGGGCCCTCAAGACTTTTTTATTTCAACAAGCCGGGCTGGCCTAACTTCTCCAACTGCCTAATTTTAATTTTAATTTTAAATGGGGTATTTTAATTGTTGGGCCAAAATTGTTTAATATGTTTTTAAATTACTCTTAAATTTTTGTATTCTATGTTTTTTACCTTTGGCTGTTCACCGCCCTGAGTCCTTCGAGAGAAGGGCAGTATATAAATTTAAATATAAATAAATAAATAAAATATAACAATAAAAATAAAACAAAGAGAAATGCCTAATTTATAATGATTTACTCAAAACAATTTCCTTTCTATTGTTTCACCTCAATCTTAATTTTCAAATAACACAACTTAATATTTTACATCATTATTACCCTGAATTCTATCTATTCAACAATGCCATTATCCTAAAACCCATTACTTAAATCTTAAAATCCTAACCCAATATCATTTCAATTTTCTTTTCTCTTTTAGCTTAAATGAAGATATCTTAAATATATAAATCCTTACAATTACTAAGAATATTTACACAATATTTTAACTGTTAATATTTATCATCTTCATTTTACTATTTATCTCAGCATAGATCTTATTTTACTGTTACTCCCAACATAATCATTTCATTATTATTATTAATTCCAATATAGTCATTTTTATTTTAACTATTTGTCCCAGCATATCATCTTCATCTTATCATCTTCTTTTAGCTGTTAATCTCAGATTAACATCTTTAATATTACTGTTACACCCAGTATAATCATCTTATTTTTCATATTATCATTATCATCTTTATAACAATTTAACAACGAGACTTAGTTCTTATATTAAACACATCCACTTATGAGTTAATAAATTTAACATAATCTATTTCTCTTATATTCTACCTTCCCTCCTTATTTCAATTTTATATCTCTATAACATATTCTTCACATATTCATATTCAATGCTTATTCATCTATAAAGACCTCCTTTTTATTATTACTATCCGTCTATACATTGCTTTCCATTTTTAATCACGTTTATCTTTTTTCCAGCCATCTATATCTTATTTTCTCATCTGTTAGCATATATTTCTTTTGAATTTCAATGTCCTCAATTTACATCCTCCATAGATCATTTTAGTTCTTATTCTTACTTCTATTCCAAGCAACATATATCAGTTATTTCTTCTTTCGTTCCTATGCCTGTTGACTTCTTTCATTCCTGCACCAATTAGTACCAATTATAAAAGTTCTGTTATCTTTTCCCTTTCTTTTCGCCAAAGTCGAGCCATCTACAGATAAAGAAAGAACACCTCCTCCACCAAGATCCTACGGCTATTATCTGTAGTATTCACAATGTTCCAAAACAAGAAGCAAGTTACAATGTTCCTTTTTAAACCAGAAGGTGTCTCTCTTCAGTCTACAATTTCCATTAGTCATGCAAGTATCCATTTTGTTACACTTATATAACAGTCCTATTTGATTCTCTTCTTTTTCTGTGTTTTAAAAGTATTAAATCTGGTTTTTTTCCCCCTTAAAGTTCCAATTTAAAACTTTGTCCAGTCTTTGAACCTTGTCCCAATATTTAATTTTTTTCAGTTGGATCTATTCATCAATCGATTTTCTATCAAGTCTTTTCCTCTTTACTTTTTAATTTTAAAAATATCAAATCATCTTTTTAAAAGTCCAATTCAAATTTAAAACTTTAGCCAGTCTTTTAGTCAAATCTCAATATTTGGGTTTTTTCAGTTGATTCTATTCCAAAGTCAATTTCCGGTCAGGTCTTTGTCTGATTAACATTTCATTTCAGAATTGTCATTGCCCCTTTGTTGTTCAGCCGCTATTTTTGGCTAGGGGTCTTATAGTTAAAAATATTGCTCCAAGCATTATTACATGCCTGGGTTGGTTGTCAGTCAACCAGCTTCAAAGAGCTCTGTTCTTTTCCACTCTCCTCCAGCACATTTCTTAGTCCGGTTGTCCCATCTTCGTGGCAGCTACCATGGCTGCTGCCCCCCACTACCGACTCACAGACACTTCCCACTGACCTCCGAGGAATTTGCCCATTCCTCTTGGTCGTCCAAGGCGCCTCTCTTTCTTCCCCGTCCCTGCAGGACGGTTCTGATCTGAAGACCGGAATCGGTGGTGGTTCGGCAGTTGGGGTTTTCGCGGGACTCATCAGAGGCCGCTATTTCCCCTACTGTCTCGCTGTGATGCCAAACCGGAAGAGTTCTTTTTTTAATTCAAAATTTTAACCTAATAAATGTACAAGACAAACAAAAACAAATGATAGAGAAGGAGGAAGGGAATTGAAAAAAGAAAAATCATATAATTGCACTTTTCACCCTTTTCTCTGTTGAGAAATTGTCATCTCACATTCTTATATGGAAATTATCTCTATTCAGTTGACCAGAATAAAAACTTCCTTGGAAACTGATACTGCTCTGAGGTCCATTCCTCAGAGAAATCCAGTCCAACATTTCCCTTCCATGTTACTCATGTGTGCAGAGGAGCAGGGAGATTTTCTCAATGCACAGGTGGCAAGCAGTAAACAGACCCTCATGGTAGAGTCCCACTTAAGGGCTCCTTGGGCCAGGTGGGATCCCAGGGAATGAGACGGGACCAACAGGCCACGTGTTTAACTTGTTGCTGCCCAGGGATCTCATATCCCACAGCAGATGTACAACGGGAACACAACTGCACGTACACCATAGTTTGTAGGGACCCACCAAGCTCCTTGGAGCAGAGTCAAAAGTCCACCTCCTCCTCCTGCGGCTGCATATTCCCTGTGGCAGGTCTGTGACTTCTCTGAGGAAACACTGTTGATGGTGGGAGACTCCCAGAACAACAAGCAAGTTAGAAGGACATCAAGTATGCTGCAGAACAAGTTAACCAAGGTCTCTTTGGGGTGGCACTCAATGCCTGATGATTTAAAGGGTTAATGATTGCAGATTTCTTGACAACTAGCATTTTCTTCTTCAGGGTGTTTTTCCTCTTTCTCTCTCTCTCCCTTCCTCCCTCTCTCTCTCTCTCTCTCTCTCTCTCACACACACACACACACCCTTGCGGACATCATAAACATCTCAGTGAGAGCAACATGACTACTCCCTAGCAGTCAATAGGGAGCAAGAGAGAGAAAAGGGGGAAGCACAAAGGAAGAGAATATTGTGGCCAAACCTGCCTCATCTGAAGCAACCAAATGACTTCAGCATATATTAAGCATGCCAACAATCACTGTGTTGAACCCAACCAAAGCAAGCATGGCTGAGATGATACAATCTCTTAATGGAAAACTTTAATGAGTACATTATATCGGCAAAGATGAGGGCAAAGGCAGATCTGACTGTTTCCTGGGCAAACCCACATAGTTAAAGTTCAAGTTTTCCCTCCCCCCTATTAGGCCAGATCACCTTGTCCAATGGAGACTTCTAGTATTGTTGTGAAAAAGTCTTTTTGAGCTCTGGTAAACACCTGACGCTTGACACACTCTGCAAAATGGATTCCACCAAAGCATTGGCAGCTTTCTGAGCAGCCCTGACGTAAAGCAGAACCGCAGTTTATATACCGTTAGCCCATTACATTACAAAGATATAGAAACAGGCAAGCACCCTATAGAGTACAGCGTGATGTTGGAATATTTTTGATAACCCCATTTGGGAAGCCTTATTTATCCCTGTCTAGAAAGTCAGTATGGCAACTATGCGCTCTGTGAGATATGGTCAGGGAATGTAAACACTTTGACTCACTGGTCCAGAAATTCCTGTCTGATTCTTCCTCCTGTGTCCACACAGGCCCAATTCAGCTTGTTCTCTATGTTTCCTTACAACAAGACTTTAAGCTCTCTATACAACTATTGAGGTGCAGGAGCATCTCAGAGGTTAGTTAGTGAATGTAACTCAGTGGTCTGTGTGGATAATCACTGTGGATGTTCCATGACTGAGTGGAGAACACAAAGCGTTATCTCCCTGCTCCTAACCCACATTTCACCAACACCATTCAAAAAGACAGGTTACAATGTTTTTTACTAGGTTGCATTGCATGTGATCCCTTTGCAGAAAGACAGTCAGAAGGACAGTCCTCGCTTACCGCTTACTACTCAGCCTTCAAAATGACACTGGTGCTGAAAACGTAGAGTTACAAGTGTTCCTCAAAGTGGTGGCCATCACAGTTATTTGGGGGTGGCACTGGTTTGCAATTATGTGTAAATTCTGCACCAGAAGGAGGGACAAGAAATATTGGATGAAAATTAACCAAGGAGAGAAGCAACTTAGAATTAAGGAGAAATTTCCTAACAGGGAGAAGAATTAACCAGTGGGACAGCTTGCCTTCAGAAGTTGTGGATGGGTCATCACTGGAAGCTTTTAAAAATAGCCTGGATAGTCATTTGTCTGAAATAAGGTCTCTGGATCCAGGCGTGTTAGAGAAAAGTTATTTCTCATTTGCTGTGCCTATTAATGGCGTTTGGAATGGACAAGTAAATAAGCCAATCAGAAAGCGGCTAATGGGTTTGAAACTCCCTGGCTTTTATATTCCCTCCCCTAACTGTCACTGTGACAGTATAAAAGGAGATTCCTGACAGAAAACTATTGTCAGTTAGTAGTCAGTCAGTTGTCAGTTAGAGGGCAGCTCTGCAGTTCTAAATGTCAGGTAGAGGGCAGTTCTAAAGGGCAGTTCTGCAGTCAGTATGCAGTTGAAAGGCAGTTTGTCATCAGTAAGTTGGCAGTTAGGAGATTTCTGATTAGGGATCAGAGGTAGATCTGATGTATTAAAAGACTCCTTCTTCTGAGGAAGAATAGCCAGAACTATAATCATATAGAGTGATTACATATATATATATATATCTGACAGGATATTTAAGAAAAGGAATGACATACTATTTAGTATTTGAATAGATATTGTTTTTATTATTATGTAAATAAAAACAGTTTATTTTGAACTGCTAGTAAGTCTCAGATGTTATAGTAGATTGTTATAGAGATAAGGTTTTATGGTACATTGATTTAACCTCCACGACAAGGAGGTTGGACTAGAAGACCACCAAGATCCCTTCCAGATCTATTCTGATTGATTCATCTTGAAAGCTGCAGCCTTGAATTGGCTTGTGGGCGCAGCAGGAACAGGTCAATGGGTATGTTTTGTGGTGAGGGAGAAGATCCAGTTTGGTGTAGTGGTGAAGGCATCAGGTTGGAGACAGAGAAACGCTCAATTCCAGTCCCACCTAAAGGGCAAAACCATCTGCTCAACTTTGGCCAGTCCTCTCAGCCCTTGGAAGCAGGAAAGGGGGGGAACCCCCTCCCAAAAACCCTTGCCAAGGAAACTGCAAGGCCAGGCATCAAGACTGACCCAAAGGCACCAAAGCGTCGCGTTTCACTATTTCACTTGATTCAGTTGCAAAGGTCGGTTGCTAGGAGTCGAAAAGGACCTGCTGCCACGTAATCAGTGAAAACATCTTCCAAACGCTTTGGTGGAGATCGGACAAAGCGTGTTTTTCCACCTCCTGTCGCTAGATGGCGATCAGGCAACATCTGTGCCTAGAAAGCCATCCACACTTCAGAGCAATCAGTGCTTGAGCTTGAAAAAGGAGTTTTTAAACCATCGAGTACTTCATTGCTAGAAAGGAGGGGATGGGAGGAGAGGTGCAGAGGAACTTCCTCTTCTGGATGATTGATGGGAGGAAGTTGGTGTGCAGAGCGGCTTTTGTGCTCTTCCCAGGGTCGAAGCAGCAGCTGGCAGGTGAGTTGAGGGCTGCGGGTGGGAGGAGAGTCCGGGAGCAAGTCGGGCTGTTCGGTTCCCTCCACGGCCTGGAAGCGGAGAAGCAACTGGGCTGAAGCCTCTCAGCTGCGGCTGCTGCAGGTTCCTTCTCTCCCCAAATGGAAGCCCACTGGTGCTGCAGGCTGGGAAACTGGGGGCTGCAATTTCTGCTGGTGGGAAGATTGAAAAAGCCTCTTTCAAGGGGAGGTTGATTCTTTGGGAATGGCTTCCCTCCAGAGGTTGTGGCTGCTCCGTCACTGGAGGGTTTTGAGGGGAGATTGGGCAGCCATTTGTTCTGGATGGAATAGGGTCTCCTGCCTGAACAAAGGATGGACTAGAAGACCTCCAAGGTCCCCCCAACTCAATTCTTCTCTTATGGACCTGATGTTTTCTGGGCAACAAGATCGGATTTATGTGTCTCTAGTCGTTTCTGGGTTGTTTTACTTCCATTTCTAGCTAACAAGCACCGTGTTTTCCTATTAGTACCCAAATATCCATCTCTAAAGACTGTTAGGGCTTCTTTCTGCCTTTGTTAAGATTTTTTTCTCCATTTTTCCTTTGGGGAAATATAATATTCTGCCTCTTTTAACATTCCCCAAAATATTTCATTCTTCCTGGGGAGGAGGGGGGCTTCTCACAAAATTAATACCGAAGATAAAGCACGTATGAGGAAGGAGGGTGGAATGGGGGTGAGGGGGGATCTACAACCTGATCAAGGACAAGCATAGGTAGTCCTCACTTACCACCCCTGCCCTAGAATACTTTGGTATATAGATGAGTTCATGGTCGACTCAAAGACTGGAATGTGTCCAGGTCCTGTGGCTGCAAAACAAGCCCAAATCATCACCCTCCACCACCGTGCATGATGGTTTGTATGAAATGCTTGTGCTGATATGCTGTGTTTGGTTTTCGTCAACCGTGTCACTGCATTACAGTCAACCATCTCACTTTAGTCTGGTCTGTGCAAAGGACAGTGTTCCAGAATTCATGTGATTTGTTCAGATGCAACTTTGCAAACCTCAGCCGTGCTGCTATGACCTTTTTAGAGAGAAGAGGGTTTCTCCTCACAACCTTTCCAAACAAGCCATACTTGTTCAGTCTTTTTCTAATTGCACTGTCATGAATCTTAACATTTAACATGCTAACTGAAGCCTGTAGAGTCTGAGATATAACTCTTTGTTTTTTTGCAATATCTTTGGCCATTGCATGGTCTGGCCTTGGGGTGAATTTTCTTGGATGTCCAGTCCTGGGAAGATTGGCAACTGTCTGGAATGTTTCCCACTTGTGAATAATCTTACTCACTGTAGTCTGATGGATTTTAAATTGTTTGGAAATGGCCGTTTAAACCTTCGCAAATTGATGGGCAGCAACAATTGGTTCTCTAAGATCATTGCTGATGTCTTTACTCTTTGGCATTGTGGTAACACACACCTCAATGCCGGAGACCAGGAAACTCCTCCAACTTCAGTTTTTATACATGTAGTCATACTTGCTGATGATCAATTGATCAAGGGCACTTTATTAGCAGTACTTGGTTGCTACTTCACCTCTTTATACAATTGAAGTAGTGATAAATTTCCTAATGGTGAGAACAATTAACCAGCAGAACGGCTTGCCTTCAGACACTGTGGTGCTCCATCACTGGAAGCTTTTAAGAAGAGTCATAAGACCCACTTTTCCAAAATGGTATAGAGTCTCCTGCTTGAACAGAGGCTGGATTAGAAGACCTCCAAGGTCCCTTCCAATTCTGTTATTCTCTTCTGTTCTGTTGCGATGATATTTATGATACCCTGATAAGTAAAACCATAGAACTGAAGGAGGGTGAACTTTCTTTTTCACTGGACTGTATTTAAAACAACCTTTTGCACTGCTAAGAATTTGTGATTGATCCTGTCAAGAATTGAATTTCATCATTGAATGGATATTCGAACTTGGATCTGGGTAGTCTTCCATGTGTCAAATAAATCATGATTAATGTAAGAGCTTATTGGAGCATTGGAGCACGCTTGCCTTTTCATTTTCTCATCTTTTGCAACTATTTCATGCACAATTAAAGATACATTTTTATTTGAATCTTATAGACAAAGAGGATGGCAATAAGAGCATTCTGGACAGCATTCTGGTTCTTGGAAGGAAGAAGAAGGAGAGAAACTCTACAAGTGCTCCCAATGCAGTAAATGCTTTAGCAAGCATGGCAACGTGGACTCACACCAAGGAGAAACCATTTGAATGTCCTGAGTGGGGGAAATATTTCAATAGAAATTCCAACCTCATTAGACACCAGAGAATTTGCACAGGTGAGAAACCCTTTGAATGTCCTGATTGTGAGAAAAGTTTCTCTCAGAATTCCCAGCTCATGAGACACCAGAGGACTCACACAGGTGAGAAACCCTTTGAATGTCCTGACTGTGGGAAAAGTTTCAGTCAGAATTCCACCGGTATTAGCTACCAGATGATTCACACAGGCAAGAAACTCTGTAAATGTCTTGAATTTGGGAATAGTTTCAGTTGGAATTCTGACCTCATTGCACACCAGAGGACTCACACAGGAGAAAAACCCTTTGAATGTCCTGTTTGTGGGAAAAGTTTCAGTCAGAATTCCAGCCTGATAATACACCAGAGGACTCACACAGGGGAGAAACCATTTCAATGTCCTGTTTGTGGGAAAAGTTTCAGTGAGAATTCCAGCCTGGTGAAACATAAGAGGACTCACACAGGAGAGAAACCGTTTCAATGTCCTGTTTGTAGGAAAAATTTCAGTCAGAATTCCAGCCTGGTGACCCACCAGAGGACTCATACAGGAGAGAAACCTTTTGCATGTCCTGATTGTGGGAAATGTTTCAGTCAGATTTCCAATCTGGTTACACACCAGAGGACTCACACAGGCGAGAAACCCTTTGAATGTCCTGATTGTGAGAAAAGTTTCAGTACCAATTCCAGCCTGGTGAAACACAAGAAGACTCACACAGGAGAGAAACCGTTTCAATGTCCTAATTGTCAGAAAAATTTCAACAAGTGTTCCCACCTCAATAGGCACAAGAGGATTCACACAGGAGAGAAACCCTTTGAATGTCCTGACTGTGGGAAAAGTTTCAGTCAGAATTCCAGCCTCATTAGCCACAAGAGGATTCACACAGGAGAGAAACCCTTTAAATGTTCTGACTGTGGGAAATGTTTCAGTCAAAATTCCAACCTTATAAGCCACCAGAGGACTCACACAGGAGAGAAACCATTTGAATGTCCTGATTGTGGTAAAAGTTTCAGTCACAATTCCATCCTGGTGACCCACCAGAGGACTCACACAGGAGAGAAACCTTTTGCATGTCCTGATTGTGGGAGAAGTTTCAGTCAGATTTCCAATCTGGTTATACACCAGAGGACTCACACAGGAGAGAAACTCTATGAGTGTCCAGAGTGTGGGAAAGATTTCAGTACCAGGAGTAACCTTATAAATCATGTCCGTATACACATAGGGGAGAAACCATTTAAGTGTCCCAAGTGTGGACGGTCCTTCAGGCAACATTCCACCCTTACTGAACACAAGAAAATTCACCTGAGGCCTCAAGTGATGAGTGTAGAGAAGGCTTGAATTTCATTTCTAATGTCCCATTGTAAGTCCAGCTGAGAAACTGACTCTTTAATTTTACTACAAATTCTTTTTGTAATGGTATTTGCCTGATTTTTTGTAGGCAAATATGTAATGATATTAGGCGGGAAGGAGAAAAGAAGAAATTGCAACATATTAGTTTGATAATGGCTATCTGGCCATCAGCAGAAGAAGTTGCTGGATATTTATTTTTGCAGAAATTGTGCAATTATGTAAAAATATTTTGGGAGTGGTGTTTGCATTTTTACCGTGGTAGATAATATAAATGCCACATACAGAATCCCAGCCTTTTTCTTCCTTGTTTGATCCGAGATTTTTAGCCTCAGAATTTTCCAGCCAGCATGTGTTGGGGATAGGAGCACTCAGACTATAGTTAGAGATTGTGGCTCCACATATAAGGAGAAAGCGAGAGGAGAACAGAAGTAAAGGAGTTTAAAAGTTCATTTTTTCCTAAGAGCTCCTGGAATTCAGTGCACCAAGCATATCTGTTCAGATTGTGTCAAGAATGAGGCACGCAAGTGGAAGATACCATATGAATAGCAAATATATCGGGGGAGTTTGGGGCAGTGACAAAAGCAGTGTAAAATTTCAGATGTAACAGCTGTTGTGCCTTGCAAAGTGACCTTCATTGAGAAAAGCTATAGGAATATTGAATTGAGAAAAGGGATTGTGGTTTTTTTAAAAAAACTTTTTATATTTTAAACAAATCAAAAACAAAAAAACAACCATCATCCATTACAATCACAAAAAATGTATTGATCGGTTACAATTCTTTTGTGCTTAATCTCATATCCAAGATCCCGAATTTGCAAGCTAAATGTTGGAGATGTGAATGTGATGATGCAACTTATTATCATATATGGTGGACCTGTAAGAAAATCAAGGCATTTTGGATAAAAATTTGGTGGGTGATGCAGAACATTCTGAAAAAAAGGTTGAAATTTACTCCTCAATTGTTTTTATTGGGTATAACGACGGATTATACAGTATTAGAGACTAAACTGATCTTGAACTTAATATCAGCAGCTAGGCTGTTGGTAGCGCAATACTGGAAGAAGGACTTTTTGCCTACTATTGAAGAGTGGATACTGAAAGTAATTAACTTAGCAGAAATGGCGAAAATCTCAGCGTATTTGAAGGACTATACATAAGAAAGATACGTATCGGAATGGAGAAGATGGATTGATTATATTCAAAATAAGTATCAGACAAGAAAATATCAAATAGCTTATGAATGAATGTTACATTTTATTTTAGAAGTATTATGTTATGCATAGTGGAGTTAAGGTTTCAGGGGGGGATTAGGTAGTTTAAGAATAGTTAGGCTAATTTAGCTTATGATTGTTAATTGAAATACCCTGTATTTTGCTCTGGGAAGTCTGGGGGGGAGAGTGGGATGGGAAGGGGGGAAAAGGGTGGGGGGAATATTGAGGGGGGCGGAATTTTCTTTGTAAAACTTTTCAATAAAAAAAAAAAAGAATTTTCCAGCCAGCATCTCTTGGGGATAGGAGCACTCAGACTATAGTTAGAGGTTGTGGTGCCACATATAAGGAGAAAGTGAGAGGAGAACAGAAGTAAAGGAGTTTAAAAGTTCATTTTTTCCTAACAGTTCCAGGAATTCAGTGCACCAAGCATGTCTGTTCAGATTGTGTCAAGAATGAGGCACGCAAGTGAAAGAAACCATATGAATAGCAAATATATCGGGGGAGTTTGGGGCAGTGACAAAAGCAGAGTAAAATTTCAGATGTAAAGGCTGTTGTGCCTTGCAAAGTGACCTTCATTGAGAAAAGCTGTAGGAATATTGAATTGAGAAAAGGGATTGTGGTTTTTTTAAAAAAACTTTTTATATTTTAAACAAATCAAAAACATAAAAACAACCATCATCCATTACAATCACAAAAAATGTATTGATCGGTTACAATTCTTTTGTGCTTAATCTCATATCCAAGATTTACAAAAATATTTAATTTCTCTTTGACAATTTATTATATCTCTTTTTGATATTATTCACATTTATCAATTATTTAACCGTGGCTTATCTCCTGTAAAAAAGACCGCTTCCTACATTTTACTATTACATTTATTTCATATTTCATTTCCATGCTTTATTATCAAGCCATTGATAAAATAAATCCCATATCATATAATATTGTCTGTCTTCCTGTCCTCTAATTTCAACTGTCAATTTACTCATTTCAGCACATTCCATAATTTTCTTAATAACCTCATCATCAGTAGGTAACTTCTCTCCTTTCCAATTTTTAGCAAATACGATTCTAGTCGCTATTAAAACATTCACAATTAAATATTGCAATACTTTGTTGTATGTTTCTGGTAAGATCCCCAATAAAAATATCTCTGGTTTAAAGTCAATATGTTTCTTTGTCATTTTTTCCAACCATGTGTGTATCTTAGTTCAATATCTTTTAGCTTCTACACATGTCCACCACATATGGTAATATGACCCTGGAGTCTGATGACACTTCCAACATTTCTCCGATTTATTCTTAAACATTCTGGCTATTCTCGCCGGGGTTGGCATTTGTAAAACATCTTATACAAATTCTCCTTATATGCTGTTGATATTGTCATTTTATAATTTTGCGACCACAGTTTTTGCCATTTCTCTAAGTCAATCCCATGACCAAAATTTTTCCCCCAGGCAATCATTGTTTCTTTAACTTGTTCTTCCAGTTTTACTTCTAATAAATAACCATACAGTTTTTTAATTACATAGTCATCAGAACCTGTTAAGATTATATCTAAATTCATCAAATTACTGTAAAAACCCTCTGTCTTAGAATCTTGATCATATCTAGACTGTATTTGCATATATGTAAACCAATCCATTTTTATCTCTTGTTCTTCTAGTTCTTGCTTCAATTTGAGTTCACCCTTATCATTCAATAATTCCCAATATCTAACAATTTGTTCCTTTCTAAATGTTATTGAAAGTGAGAATGCTTCAATAGTAGATAACCAGACTGGAATTTTTGAATAATGATATCTTTTGATCTTCTCCCAATTTAATAACAAAGACTCTCGTATATGTCTTCTAAAATAACCCTGTGTTTTTATACTCTTATACTACAAAAAAGCATGCCAGCCTACCAGCAAGTCATGTCCTTCTAAAGTCCACAATCTAGTATTTCTTAGCGTTATCCATTCTTTAATCCACATCAAATTACTATCTTGGTAATATACTGTAATTCCCAATCCGGCAAACCAAAACCTCCTCCTGCTCTAACATCTTGCAGCAATTTTAATTTTATCCTCGCCTTTTTACCCTGCCAAATATATTTTAACACAATTTTATTTAGATCTTCAAAATACTCTTTTCCCAACCTAATTGGGATTGTCTGGAATAAATATAAGATTCTAGGCAATGTATTCATTTTGATAGTTGATATCCTTCCTATCAATGATAGTTAACCCTGGAGGCGCAGAGGGTGAGGGCTCCCCAAACGCCTGGAAAGCAACTCCAGACTCGGGATTCTGTCTTTGACGGATTAAGGCGTCGCGACCATCCCTGTGAAACAAGTGATTTCAAGGATTGATTTTCACACAGGCAGAACAAAACAGGAGAGCTTCTCGCAAGTATTTTTCTTTCTTTAACTCTGATGAATAATGAGTCCTTTCAGATTCGAGTGAAAGCTTTATAGAGACCCAAAATGGTGCTGATTGAAAACGGAAGCTTAAGAAGAAAGTGATTGTTAAAGCTTGTTTGCACTTGTTAAGGTCGTTATAGCTGACAGTACTTTGAAGCTTTGCTGAATGAAGTTTGCAGCATAAGAAAAGATGGCAGAAGTAAATATTTTTGAAGAGAATGGAGGTTTCTCAGCAGATAATTCAGCAAGCGTACAAATACTGACAGTGGATTTTGTGGATGTATGGCAAAAATCATTTATGGAAAGACTGGATGAGATCTTTGAGAAGTTTATTACTCAAATTGCTAACAAAGTTGCAATGTTGAAAGAGGAGGAAGAACAAAAAGCACCTGAGGAACATGGAAAGGATGTTTTTCAAACTATGAATAAACTGATGGGCTTGAAGGAGGTTAATCCGGAGATATGGAGAGAGATCTATCCAGAGGTTTTGATGCAGATGAGAGGAAAAGTGCTGGGAGAAGCTTGGATTTTCAAGATATCAAGAAGGATTAGAAATGGAACATTACAATTTCTTTACAAAAATGGACTTTTAATCCTATTTAAAGAGGTGTGTTGCTTAAAAGGAATTACTTTGCGAGCTGCGCAGGAAGAAGAAGGCTCGGAAAAAACCCAGGGGGAAATGGAAGTGGAAGAATTTTATTCCTCTTTGTTAGGCAGGATAACATGGTGAATGATTGTATTGGTATTCAAGATTTTTATTAAGGATATGATTTGTTTGGTTTTGAAATTTTTTTTTCTTTAAAAAAGAAATTTTCTTTTGGATGTTAAATGACTGGATGTTTCAACTGTTATATAAACGTGAACAAGGATATGATCTCTTTGGTTATGATTGGATGATTATATCTAAAAATTATTTTAAGTAATGGATTAAATGAGAAATTTCCTTTTGGATGTTAAATTCAAGGCTATAGATTTTTCAATATATTTTCAAGGGCTTTAAATTGTTTGTTTATTGTTGAATTAATTGGGATTAACTACCTTTAAGCAAGAAAAAGTTATATTTTGTTTTGAACAAGGAGAGTTAAAGTACAAGTGATAGATAAATCTATAGATAGTTAGTTTGTGGGGTTTTTCATTAAGGTTTGTTAAATGTTTTTACCCTGTACTTGTTCTGGGAAGTCCGGGGAGGGGGGTGGGGGTTGGGATGGGAGGGGGGAAGGGAGGGGGGAAATAAAAAAATATGATTGATTTTTTGCTTAAGATGTATGTTGACTATGAAATAAAAGTTTTTTAAAAAAAATAATAATAGCAGAAAGACTAAAGAGATTTTTTAAATCAATTTATATCAAAATGGCTTTTTACCTGAGACAAATTAAAGATAATATGAGAATAATTTTGAATACACTGGAATATTATGAAGCACATCGAGAGAAGCAAATGGTACTGATTTTCTTTGATGCACAGAAGGTGTTTGACAATGTGAACTGGCAATTGATGCTGACACAATTAAAAGTTATGGACTTTGGGGGGAGATTTATCAAGATTATTAAGGCAATATACTATAAACAAACCGCAAAAGTGATGGTAAATGGAGATATGAATGAAAAGGTTAACATCAGAAAGGCTACAAGACAGGGATGTCCCATGTCACCATTATTATTTGTATTGACACTAGAAGTATTAAATAGAAATATTAGACAGGATAAGGAGACAAAAGGTATGGAAATAAAAAAGGAAGAATACAAATTACAGGCATTTGAAGATGATTTGGTTTTTATCTTAGAAGATCCACAAGAAACAGGATGGCTTCCGGTTTGGCGTCGCGGCGAGACAGTCGGGGAAATAGCGGGCTCTCATGAGCCCCACGAAAACCCCGGCTGCTGCCCTGCCGCCAATGGGTCTTCGGACCTGAACCATCCTGCAGGGACAGGGGGAAAGGAGGGGCACCTCAGACGACCGAGAGGAACAGGCAAGTTCCTCGGAGGTCAGGGGGAACCCTCTGCCATCGGCGGCGGGGTCAGCAGCCATGGCGGCTGCCATGAAGTTGGTTCAATCGGACAAGAGATGTGCTGGAGGAAAGTAGATTGAAATGGAGCTCTTTGAAGCCGGATGAGTGACAACCAACCCAGGCTTGAACAACGCCTAGAGCAAGATTAACATCTATAAGACTCCTAGCCATAAATTAGCAGCTGAACAACAAAGGGGCTGAAAGTTTAAAATGCTACTTTAAAGAAACAAAGACCCAATAAACAACTAAATTTTGAACAGACCTAAGGAATTAAATATCGAGATATGGTACAAAGACTGGATATTTTAAAATTTGAATTGGATTTTTTTAAAAAAGAAGATTTGATACTTTTTAAACTAAAGGAAGAAGAAATAAATTGGATTGTTATATAATTGCACAAAATGGATATTTGCATGACTAATGGAAAATGTGGATTGTAGAGGGACACCATCTGGTTTAAAAAGGAATTTTGTAACTCTTTTTTGTTATGGAAACTTTGGGCTTTACAGATAAAAGTCATGGGATTTTGCGGAGGAGGGTTTTTTCTTTCTCTGTCTGCAGGCAGCTTGACTTTTGTGAAAAGAAAAGGAAATTATAACGGAACTCCTATTGTTGAAACAATAATAATTTAAAAAATTGGCGCAGGAATAAATAAAGGATTAAGCACAGGCTCAAGAGAAGATTTGATACATTATATCTGGAATAAAAATAAGAAAAAGATATAACATAACTTATGGAGGACAAAATTGAAAAATTTAAAAATGGTTGGAAATATATGTATGCAGGCGAG